CATGCTATATCGATACAGTAATAATATATGAGATGTATGCATCTCTAACTACATGACACAACAATCTTTCACCATAAACACGATTGAAAAAAAAAAAAATTGGATAACGGCAAACGCTATCCCCCCCCCCAAAAAAAAAGGAGGTAATAAAGGGGGGTTGAAGGAAGGGGAGATAGAAATAAGAAGAAAGGAGCAGGGAGAAAAAATAACTAAATACCTTTTATAGTTTCGAGGAGGCAAAAGTGAATTCCGTCAGCATCAACAAGTAACGCTACAATTAAAAGCATTATCAGATAACCAATTAGCTTTGGCAAACATTACCCGAACACAATATCACGAGATACTAATTTTCCCTCATTTACGATACATCTACGTAATCTGTGTAAGGTTGACAAGAACCGTTTTATTTTTTATAACGAAAGTCTAATAATAATATAACCTTTACTCATCCTAATTATTCAAAAACACACAGACATTATTACTCCTATCACAATAAACACCAAAACACAGATACACAATTAAACGATGCAAACGTACCAGAAGCTACACCGAAGATACCAAACTTTCTCTCTCTCTCTCTTTCTCTCTCTCTCTCTCTCTCTCTCTCTCTCTCTCTCTCTCCTCTCTCTCTCTCTCTCTCTCTCTCTCTCTCTCTCTCTCTCTCTCTCTCTCTCTCTCCTCTCCTCTCTTGTTTTAATTCTCCCCCTCTCTCTCTTCTCTCTCTCTCTCTCTCCTCTCTCTCTCTCCTCTCTCTCTCTCTCCTCTCTCTCTCTCTCTCTCTCTCTCCTCCCTCCCTCCCTCCCTCTCTCTCTCTCTCTTCTCTCTCTCTCTCTCTCTCTCTCTCTCTCTCTCTTCTCTCCTCTCTTGTTTTAATTCTCCCCCTCTCTCTCCCTCTCTCTCAATCTCTCTCTCTCTCTCTCTCTCTCTCTCTCTCTCTCTCTCTCTCTCTCTCTCTCTCTCTCTCTCTCTCTCTCTCTCTCTCTCTCTCTCTCTCTCTAACCCTTTACACCAAATACCTCTTCTCAAAACAACAGGACCCTCCTACGATAAAACCCGCTTGATCTGATATCCTTATTCTGCATCCTACATTCCGGTTCCCTTGTTAGGATTGGTAGGAGTTTTACCGAGGCATTAAGGACGAGAGAAGGGAAAGTAGTGCCAAGGTTCTTGGGAGCGGGAAGGAGGAGGGGAGGGAAGGGAGGGAAGGAGGGGAGGAAGGAGTGAGGGAAGGAGGGAGGGAAGGAGGGGAGGGAAGGAAGGAAGGAAGGAGGGAGGGAAGGAGGAGAGGGAAGGAAGGAAGGAAGGTAGGAGGAGGAGGGAGGAGGGGAGAGGGAAGGAGAGGAGGGAAGGGAGGGGAGGAAGGAGGGAAGGAGGGGAAGGAAGGGAGGAGGGAAGGGAAGGAAGGAAGGTAGGAGGAGGAGGGAAGGAAGGTAGGAGGAGGAGGGAAGGGGGAGGAGGAAGGAAGGTAAGAGTGAAGGAGGAAAGAAGGTGGGATGAGGAGGGGAGGAGGGTAAGGCAGGGAAGGAATGGGGAAGAAGGAGGGAGGGAGACAAGGGGGGAAGGAGGGAGGGAGGAGGGGAAGGGGAGGGGAAGGAAGGAGGGATGGAAGATAGGAGGAGGAGGAAGGGGAAGGAGGGGAAGGAGGGGAGGAAGTTAGCGGGGAGGAGGGAAAGGAAGGAAGGGAGGAGGGCAAAGGGAAGTTGGGAGGAAGGGAAGGAGGGAAGGAAGGTAGGGTTAGGAGGGAAGGGAAGGAAGGAGGAGGGTAAAGGACGGTGGGGAAAGAGGGGTGATAAAGGGACGCAGAGAAGGGAGGACAGAGAAAGGATATAAGGATGAAGAATAAAAGAAAAGAAAAGAACGTAAACCCAGAAGAAGGATAAGCGAGAGGAATAGGAAATGAGGGAAAAAGGAAGAAAGAGAAAGAGAGAAAGTAAGAAATTAAATAACAGATAGTCAGGTACAGAAAAAGACCCCACATGTAAGTAATAGTATAGCCAATAGTCCGCCCATTCCTGCATATTTTTTTTTCTCTCTACTATTATCTAAAAACAGCAGTGATCATTTATCCAACATCAATACTATCTTTATTACTGTATTCGCTGTCTATTTAGATTCCCTGCTAATGATGAGAATAAGTTATTAAGACAAAATATACAAACTACTACTTCATTTGTCTCATTTGTTTTTCTATCTATCATTAATTATGTGTTTAATGTATCAGTAATGTATCAAATTTCTCACATAAAATTGTGCGGTTGTCATAACTTCCCATGTTTGGATTTGTTTATGAGAGAACAAAATGAAAATGGACAAATGAACACGTTTTCACAAGTGATTGTTCATTGTCACATTGTTCATTTAGTCTAATTGATTTAAAGAAGTAGAAAACAAAAGAAAATCGTAATATAGGATAAAGATCCAAATGAATGAAATCGAAAACAAAGGGAAATATCATCAAAAAAGGAAAGAAAAGGAAAGAGAGATAGAAAGAAAACGGAAA